ATCTATAATATACTGTATGCTGTAACCCTGCTCAACATAAAGACTTGGACCAAATTGTTTGATCAAATAATTTAACAGGATGATGCCATCAGCTTTTCACTAAATATGTGTCACAAGGGAAATATTTAATCTGGGTAACAATATTTGTATTCTGATTCTGGTTAGTCATTGATAGAATTAATGTACAAATTGTACAATCTAATATTTGACTCAGGTCGGTCAGCTTGCACTCACTATGACTTCATCTATGCAATTCATCTTTTTGTGTCATAAAACAGAACAGCTTTCACATCTGTATCAAATGGACACAGTCAGTCTCTGTCTTTGAGAACTAAAACATTTTGGATTCAAGGAGAAACCTCTTTAATGATGGCAAAGTTTGAGAGGGGGGTCACCCTAACATGTCCTACCTGACACCTGCATTCTTCACATTTTCAGCTTTTGTTTTTATTTTCTGGTGGTTTGTCTCGGCCAAAAGTGAAGAAGTCTTATTTTCAATCAACAGCTAAGACCTGAAAATATGACTTCATCGTGAATTGAAAAGTCATGAAATATGGCTTTGTTGTTCAGTCAAAGGTTTAATCTGACGTAATAAGACATGAAGAGAAAAATAGAATTTTGTCACACTAGAGCCAAGCCAAACCAAAAATGCATGTATGTCATCATGTGACTTATTGATGAGACCTGTTTCCTTTACCCTGTACTTCTTCATTAACTCACTTTTGTGTGTGTGTATGTGTGATACCATAGCGAGCATGCCCACGAGTGAGACAGAGTCGGTGAACACAGACAATCACAATGGAGAGGAGGACAAATCACCGTGTTGTGGACCACTGTGGTGAGTGTAATGTAGTATAACTGATTGGCAGTCCAGTCACTTACAATGAGCCAATAGAAAAGAGGTTCACTGAGTGTTTCCAGGACATTTTCCCCAGATAAATGACACCGTGCCTTTTGATACAAATCATATACATAACTCAAACCCACAATGCAAAGCTGCACATGTTGTTGCCCTGTATTAAAGTTGCTTCATGTTTTATTCTCCTCAGTCAAAAAATTACTAAGTCAAAGTGCAGGTTAGTACCTTGGCATGATGCTTTTTTTTTTCATCCAACTCACCTTGCATGGCTGATGCTTGCATCATCATGGCTGATGTTGGCCTCATATTTTAATGCTGAAAGCTCTGATCCCAAATGTTTCCATCTGTGTTCTTGTCCATTTTAATATTTGGACCTTTATCCAGCATGTATCATGTTTTATATGTGACAAACTCATGATCGTTATCCTGATCTCACCAGTTCCATCATTTTGTATTTCTCTCTTTGCACCTAAAACTCTACTTTCATGCTTCTTTCGAATCCATTTTTTTGTCTAATTTGATTCGTTGTGATTTTGTGCTGTCATGTTAATTCACCATAAATTAAATGCATGTGTGAGAAATAAAACCTTGCAATCACATTTTATACAACTTGAGTCTGAAGTCAAGAGATTTCATTCCAAAACATGTTCAAGAGTTTTCCATTAACTCATCCAATAATGTCTCATTTGGGAAATAAACTCTTCTGAACATGCTCGCACGTGTCCTGACAATTGATTCTAAAGTGCAACTGTTTGTCAGTCGTCAGTGGCGGCGGTGGAACCGGTTTTGTCGCAGAAAGTGTCGTGCAGCTGTGAAATCAGTGACATTTTATTGGCTGGTCATCATCTTGGTGTTCCTCAACACTCTCACCATCGCCTCTGAGCACTACAACCAGCCTGACTGGCTGACTGAAGTACAGGGTATCTATTTTAATTCTGTTTTTGTTCTACTGTTGTGATGTAAATAATATGTTTGGGTCAGTTTTCAATGATGAGATGTTAGATGATATTGTAAACAGCTTGTTTGACTCTTCTCTCTTCTCCTGGCCAGACATAGCCAACAAAGTTCTCCTGGCGATGTTCACCATGGAGATGCTGGTGAAGATGTACAGTCTGGGGCTGCAGGCCTACTTCGTGTCCCTGTTTAACCGCTTTGACTGTTTCGTGGTGTGCGGAGGCATCGTAGAGACCATCCTGGTGGAGCTGGCCATCATGTCTCCTTTGGGAATCTCTGTTTTCCGCTGTGTACGCCTCCTCAGGATCTTCAAAGTTACTCGGTGAGGAATAGAAAGACCCAAGTGTGTTTTATAATAATAATAATAATTTATTTTACTTATAGGCACGTTTCAGAGCACTCAAGGTCACCTTACACGGCAGAGATACAAACACAACAGAAAAAAACAATGAATGTTTTGTGGATGTGGTAGAGATGACTTACTCCTTTTCATTCTATGATGAAGAAATCATTCAGATGATTCAGTAAGGTATTAAAATAAACTCAATATAAAAGTAAAATTTTTAGTATAAATTTCAAATCCTCATTGAAAAATAAATCTACACCTTTCAGTACAATCCAGACCTGTGCAATAAACAAACCAGTGACACAACTCACTCAAACGTAGAAAGGTACAACACTGTCACTCCAAAGTGACTTCATTTCTATATAAAGTCTATGGTTGCAACAGAGTGTTCTGTAAAATTCTGGCAAAATATCCCAGATAGGAATGTTGCCATTTTGTGCCAATGACGTAATTAGAGGTCAGGGTCTGTGCAGTAGCGATCGGGGGATGGAGCCACAGTATTGAGGTCTTGCTGATTCAAGCACTCGACTATTCGCAAGTCAATTTCAGCTGTCAATAATGTTTCACCTTGTTTTTTTTAAAGCATCAAACAACTAATTAAAACCAAACTAAGCAGTTTTCCAGTGTTTTCATCTCCATATTTGCTTTGCTTTCTTTCTGTCTGACCTTCTGCTAAGTCATTTGATATCTTTTCCTCTCCAGTCACTGGGCATCTCTCAGTAACCTGGTGGCCTCTCTGCTCAACTCCATGAAGTCCATCGCCTCCCTGTTGCTGCTGCTCTTCCTCTTCATCATCATTTTCTCCCTACTGGGCATGCAGCTCTTTGGGGGCAAGTTCAACTTTGATGAGACAGTGACCAAGAGGAGCACGTTTGATAATTTCCCCCAGGCTCTGCTCACCGTGTTCCAGGTTGGTGGTTGGTTTAATTTCCAACACTCGCAGGATATATAACATCCATTCACAAGAAAGGCGAGAACTAATTCAAGATTCAAACTCAACAAGATGTTCTCTACTTAGCAAAGTAGATTATTTTATTTTTCTCAAAATACTAGAGCAGTGCCTGTTCTATCCATTCCTCATAATCATTAGTGGGTCCTCTGCAAACAGACCCTCAATATACAGTCTTTTTTTTTGTTTGACTGCTGAACATTTTGTGCAGAGCTGTGTGTTAAGTTCCTGTTCATCCTACCTGGTTTATCTGCATTGGAGATTTTGCTGTTGATGTTTTTCACAAAATGAAACTGTATTTTCTTCATTACTGTTCACGTGTGTGGCTTATATATCAGTTTGAATGATTTACTGAACTGGTGTTATATTTTTCATACATTGCATGTCTACTTCAGAGGTCTGTTAAGCAATCGACACGATGTCCAGACCCAAGTTCATTTCAAAATAAAAGCTTCAAATAAAGCATTATATACCAGACTTCTTGCCAAAGAATTCTTGGGACCAATTTTAATCACTCAAGTGCAATGACTTTTGCGAAGCTTTAAGTCTTGATGCATAAACAATGTGGGCGTCTTCAAGTGCACCTGCTTGAAGGGGAGAGAGAAATATAATTTAAATTGGAGGGTGTGGTGATTATTATCAAATTCATCACTGCTGTGAAATAACTGTGCCAGTCACAGAGACACATGACGGATGGACAGATGCTTCTTGATAGTGATTGAAATGGCTCTGTGTCATGTTCTCCAGATCTTGACAGGAGAAGACTGGAATACAGTGATGTATGATGGCATCATGGCCTACGGTGGTCCAGCCTCCTCTGGAATGGTGGTCTGCATTTACTTCATCATCCTCTTCATCTGTGGAAACTGTATCCTACTGCCTAAACAATAATGAAAAAAACAATAATCCACATTTTCTCACTTGCATGTGTGAATAAGTTGTGTTTTGATATTGAACCAGTTGACGTTGTCCCATATTCACAAAGTCCTGGTGGATGTTTAATGATTTCAATTCATCATGTTGGTCAGTGTCCTGTCCTTAAGTCATGTGACCAGACATCCTACTGAACGTCTTCTTGGCCATTGCCGTCGACAACCTGGCAGATGCAGAGAGCCTCAACACAGCACAGAAGGAGGAAGAGGAGGCCAAGAAGAGGAAGAACAGTGCCAAGTGAGGACACCTCAATATTTCACATTATAATTTTTGTTCACACTTGCTGTTTAATTGTTTGTGTAGACATTTGTCACAAGCACTTTTCCGAGGCAGAAATAAATGTCTCTCTGACTTGTACGTTACTCTCTGTGTGTCTCAAACAGGGATACAAGCACAGATAACAATAGAGTGGAAATAACAGAATCCAGTGATGGTGAGACCAAGGTAAGAGACAGACAGGGGCTTGAGTTTTTTACATCATGACCACATATCTGAACCATTGATCTAGTTTTCATCTCAGAAAGTATACGTTTTCAAAAAGATTGACCTGTTCTCGATCTATAGATGCCAGCAGACGCCATGCTAGAGGAAGACAAAGAGTTGTATCCTGCCATCGACTCTCCAGGTAAAAGTGATTATTTGCAAATTTGCTGAAATAAATAAATCAAATTCTACTTGTGTTTAAGAGCACATTAAGTATAGACAAGAAGCAAAACCTTACTGAATTCTTGTCCTCTTCGAATATTTATTAAAAGTGTCATTCAAAAAATCATATTTTAGTATAGCTTGGGAAATAATTATTTCCTCTGCCAAGGCGGCTATGTTGTCTGTTCACCTGATTTTCATGAAATTTGTAGATGAGTCGAGCATGACCCATGGAAGAACCCATTCAATTTTGGAGCAGATCCAGATATTTGGTGGATCCAGGATTTCTTTTTACTTATTTGTCCTGGTGAGACAGGGTGTCAGCCTGGTCAGAGATATGGAGTCTCTGAATGCCCCTCTAGATTATTTATTTGATTTTAGTGATTCTGCAATTAGAAATTAGTTTGTGCAATTAGATAAAACTTAACACCATATTTTCAACTTGAATGGCATTTAAAAGAGTGTATTCCTCCACCAAGGCCCAACAGTCCCCTTATGAGCCCACATTTAAATGAGATCCAGGTTTTTATGTGGATCACAAAATTGAGCATGCTCATAACATGAACATGTTATGTCATGAACGTGCCTTATTCTCATCAAGCTACGTTCATTGTTCTTTGAGAAATCCAGGAAAATGTTGGAAATGCACTTATCTCAATGGTAAAGAAAATTAAATCCTGGATCTTCCATGCCGAAATGTAATGGTTTCTTCCTTAGGTTATGCCCCACCCCTCTATTTCATGGAAATCTGTTGAGTAGTTTTTCACATAATCCTGCTAGACGCAGATGAAAACATCCTTGGCTGAGGTAATAGCAACTCAATTCATGTACACGATAAAATGTCAACTAAAAAAAACAACTGAATATTGCACGTTAATGAAACGTTCTTGCATAGAATTGGTTTGACATATTAAAACAGCTTTCTGTAAAAATGATCTACACTGAAATAAAAAAAAAATCATTTGTTTTAAGCCTCAGTAACATAATGAAATATAAAACAGTAGGATTGTATCGCAAGCTAATAATAAATGGCTCTGTTTCTGTCAAAGTGTGTAACATTGAACATGATAATGAAGATCTTCCAGAAGTGCCCGCTGGACCCCGCCCACAGAGGCTTTCCGAACTCACTATCAAGGAAAAGACTCCACCCATCCCAGAGGGCAGCGCCTTCTTCATCTTCAGCAGCACAAACCCGTGAGTCACACACAATAACAGTAACAGTCAACCTATTTCAGTGTGTAAACAAAAAACGTTCAAATCAAAAAGAAGAAAAAGATTTAGATATAAAAAGACAAAAATTTTTAATACTTATGTTGTGTAATCTGCCTCTGTGCCTTTTTGTCCACCCTCTTTTATTTCTCCCTGTAGGTTTCGTGTGTTCTGCCATAAGCTGATCAACCATCAGATCTTTACCAACCTCATCCTGGTCTTCATCATGCTCAGCTCTGTCTCGCTGGCTGCTGAGGACCCCATACGCAACTTCTCTGCTCGCAATATTGTACGTAAACAACCACAGGCACTGCAGACTTTAATGTCCCTGAAAGGCTTTCCCACTTATATCTCAGGGTCACTGTAACTGGCTGAGGTGCAGATATCTCGACATGTCACCATAGAAAAAGTACAGGTTTAAATAATATGATTAACAATGACTGATTTCCATATATTCGCTTCACTGTCAGGGTTGTCACACTATCATGGCTTACTGAAGAAACAGAGTGATTGTCATTGTTTTTAGTGACACTTTGTTGAGTCAAAATATCTACTGTGAAAAAGGCCTCAGGGACGTAACTCAAACAATGTGAAATGTTCAACTAAAAAAATATTATGTTACAGTAATTATTTGATTAGGTTTTTTTTAAATTCTGAACCACAGACTGTACATAAAAATGGACGATGCGTCTCGATTTTCTCCAACTATCCAGAAATAAAGCCAGAATATCTCTGATATAAATGCCCCATCTCGCACATTTCTGTCCGCAAAGTAGCTCTATGGGGATGGTGCCGCGCTATCAAGGTCCCACTCTTGACCAATCACAAATCAGTCTCAGCTGTCGATCATGACATTTCTCCTTATTTCAGCATCAAATAACTAATTAAAACCAAATTTACTGGAAAAACACTTCAGTATGATAACTACCTAAAATGACAGAAACCATCTTTGAGAAGAATTTATTTAACATGTAACATTAACATGTACTTTTTAATTTGACATATTCATCATTCACTAACTTGGAGGAGGCAGGGTTTATGAACCATTCTGCCACCAGCCACCAGGGGGTGATCATGAGGTTTTGGCTTCACTTTTTGGGAGCAGTCGTGACGTCCATCTTTATAAACAGTTTCTGGTCTGAAAATGTTTTGCTTCCTTACTGATATAACTGCCTCACAGAACTGCATACTGCATAACCTACGCGATACCGTCATGTTACATTGTTATAATTCTGTGTACTTACAGATCAACAAACAAAAACAAGCTGCACTAAGCAATTTCTAATGTTGGCAACTGGTACATTTCAGGATTTCTTCACTCAGAAGTTATGCAATGTGTTGACAACAAAGTGCTCATAACAGACGTGGCCCTACATGTGCATTTGCTGCGCTGTGCCAAGCCAAGTCGTGATGACATGTGTTACTACAACAGCTTCACAGCAGGAGACATAACCACAGTGAACAGCGCGGCTGTGGTCCTGCGTGGCAGGAGGGCCGACCACAGCCAATCTGTGACGTCTCCTCCCTGCTGTGTCCAAAGCAGAACACAGCAGCGTGTCTCTGCCGGAGATTAGAGGGAAAGCTCTTTTAGTAAAGTATCTCTGTGCTCAGCTGTCAGTATATGCAGCTTCTACCTTTGTCTCTTTTCAGTCATGTTTTCCAGTTTGTACTTTCAGTTTTAGTTAGTGGGGCTTTATCAGCAGTGCAATACTTACAAGAAAACCTTTTTCAATCAAGTTGGTGGAGTTTTAATAGTGTGAACAGAAAAAAACCACATTGAGATAAAAGAGCTGCGGGTCACAGACTTTTACTGTGGTTTGTGATGAGGTCTTTCCAGATACATCGTCAATATAAACAACTCTACAAATTAAAAACACTTGCACTGCATTGCTTGACTGCTCACAGCTGTTCAACACATGACTTGGCACAAATACCTTCTCTGAAAAACAACAACAGCCCTATAACTGGAGGCTGAAAATGTACCTTTGGCAAGTCTGTGAATTTAAGACTGTCTGTATAAAATCTTTATTCACACACTCTTTGCTGAGAGAAAAGCCTGCCCCTACTATTCACAAACTTAAAAGAGGCATATTAGGTTCATATTCAGTATCCATAATTGTGTTATTGGAAAGAAAAAAAAGTATAACTTTCCTCATACTGTCCATTGCTGCAGCTCCTCTTTTCAGCCTTTGTCTGAACTGTGTTATGTAAATAATCAGAAGTATTGGGAGAACTACTAATGCGGCGTTTCAAGAGATTCAGGAATGTTTTAATCTGTGTTTTCATTTCAAGTGTTTGCAGACTCTTGACAAACAAACTAGATGGAAAGAAAGAAGAAAGACAAACTGCAAAAGTGTAAAATGTCTCCTTTAAGAATTCAATTTAGGCGACAGAGTGGAGGCAGGATTGGTGTGTGAGTTATACATGTTTACATTAAAAATTACCTAGTGCAGCCTTGATATACTCGGAATTAGTTCATGTATTATCTTTGTTTGACTCTTACTGTATCTCCAGCTCTTCTACAGTATTTAACAGCTCATTCACTGTGTTGTTTTCCTGCAATGACTTGAACTTGTGCATTACCTCTTGCAGATACTTGGTTATTTTGACTATGCTTTCACCGCAATCTTTACTGTTGAGATCCTGTTGAAGGTAAATGTCCTTTGCGTGCTGTGTTGTGCTGTGCTGGGTAGAGCTTCAGTAACCCTGCGTGCTTATGTCACTCTTATTGCCTCCTCAGATCCTAGGCTATGCAGACTATGTCTTCACTAGTATGTTTACATTTGAGATCCTTATTAAGGTAAACAACTAAAAAAAACTGTTGTGCTGCCTCGGTAACAACCCATTTCTTCCGAGCTTGGTGAACACATCCTCTCTCCCCTCATTTTTGTCTCAATATTTTTTGGAGTAAAATGGCCGCCTGCTTGTCGTGTTGTCATGACGCCAATCCGTGGAGCTCGCATATTTTTTTTGTCTGTCAGTCACTTTTCCATCACAGCCCACTCCCCCTCCTTCATCCTCGACCAGTTTACCATATGAACAAGAAAGACGTTAAATTTGAAATGTTCTGAACTGTACAGAGACAAACTAACCTTAAACTTTCCATCCCTCTGCCTGATTGTACACTCTACACACAGATGTTCCCCCATCCTTATATTTACCTGTTTTTTGGGGTTAATGCACTTTTAAAGAATAAGCCTGAAGAAATCCACAAACAACATAATATTTCCTGTTAGAATTCAGTCCTCTTGCTTTTACCCCTTTGCTGTCTGCATGCCTGCAACAGGTAAATCTCATGTATTATGGTTTAAAAAAAGAAATTCTATCAGAAGAAGATTACCGGCCCCTATTCAGTGCTGTTTCTGGCTTAATCTGCATCAGAAATTAGTTTAGTGGCTTTTGACCTGCCTTGTCTGAACATTCTGAATTGTTTGTAATCGGTTTATTTGTGTGTGTGTGTGTGTGTGTGTGTGTGTGTGTGTGTTTGTGTGGGGCCACAATATCTTTCAAATTGTAACATTTGTTAGTGTGAATCCAGTCATTTGAATTTTTTTAATTTAAACCAAACAACAATATCGACATGATAGTTAATGATAATGTTTATTTAGTTACTGAAATACTGCTACATAATCAATATAGTTTGATTTCAGAATGAGATAACAGCTCAGATCATAGTGTAAACTGTTGTCATTGAGTCTTTTAAATTGAAAACAATTATTTGAACTTAAGAGGAACATTTTACAATTAAAATTTTGGTTCACAGAAAATATTCTTTTGAAAGTTAGTTTTGGCAAGAGATCATTAAAATCATTATTACAGTCATAATCCCATTTCAGCCTTACTGTCCCTATGTGAATGTATTGAATGGCAGATGTGTCCTCTTCAGTCCTGAAGTTAGTCTAACCTCTGTCCATGTGTCCAGATGACGGCATTCGGAGCGTTCCTTCATAAAGGGGCTTTCTGTAGAAACTACTTCAACCTTTTAGACCTGCTGGTCGTTGGTGTGTCTCTGGTATCATTCGGGATTCAGTACGTATCATTCAGTTACTCATCAGTAACAGGTTATTGACTTGACTTGACTTTTCACTGTCTTATCTTATCTAATATAATGTGTCTTTTCATTAAATATGACGCTGTAGCTGATTAGCTTAGCTTAACACAGAGACTGTAAACCAGAATAAACTATAAGGATGTCTCTTTTTAAAGTTACCAACCAGCATATCTGAAGCTCTCTAAGTAACATGGAGATAATTTGTAGTTTTCCAAGTACTTACTGTATGTGCTGGATGTTATCATGTCTCGTTGTCAATGTGAGGACAGAAAAGCAGGAGTCTTTTGTGCTGTGATGAGTCTGAATCACATGTTACTGTTGCTGCTGTGTTTCAGTATGAAACAAGTATGACATGGAAAAATACAGGAGAAGTGCAAAATCTTTTTATTCACTCAAATGGAAAATCCCACAAACTGTCCAACAAACACTGTTAGTGTTTTAGCTTAAACTAAAATCTGTTCTTGGTGAAAAGAGATGAGCTGTCAAGGGATGTACTTTTAGTTTACTGCACTTTTCAAAGTACAGTTGCAAAAGTTTGAAATTAGAAAATTCTGCTAAATCCTCTGGTGTGTTTGTGTCTTCCATAGGTCCTCTGCTATCTCCGTAGTGAAGATCCTCCGTGTTCTCAGAGTCCTCCGTCCCCTCAGGGCCATCAACAGAGCCAAGGGACTCAAGGTCAGAAAGAAAATAATACAACATGGTGCAGTGTTTATCTCTATGGTTGCTACTCATTAGCATGTATTCCTATTAATTGAGGATTATTGTGTGTCTCATTCAGCATGTGGTCCAGTGTGTGTTTGTGGCGATCAGGACCATCGGCAATATCATGATCGTCACCACCCTGCTGCAGTTTATGTTCGCCTGTATCGGTGTACAGCTCTTTAAGGTACATTGTAGAAATGTGTTGAGGGAAAATGTGATAGAGGGTAATTGGGCCACACCTGATGTTTAACTGCTGTCTCTTATGGATGTGCAAATCAACTGGTTCTTCTGTAAAACATCCAATAGTTGTATAGAAGTTGAATAAAAGTTAGAAATAAGCCTCTGACTTTCTCTGTTGTGATTTTAATAAAGGGGAAATTTTATCGATGCACAGATGACGCAAAGTCCAGCCCGGAGGAGTGCAAGTGAGTTTGTTTAACTCTTCAGTATTTCCACCTCTGTGTATTTTCCTGAGTGTCTCTGTGTGTTTAAAGTTTCGTCTTCAAATCTCAGGGGTACATATATTCTCTTCAACAATGGGGACACGGCAATGCCCATGGTGAAGGAGAGGATCTGGCACAACAGTGACTTCAACTTTGACAATGTCCTCATGGCCATGATGGCTCTCTTCACCGTGTCCACATTTGAAGGATGGCCCACGTAAGTACCGCTCTGTGTCTGAGGTACAACTCTGATTTGACTCTCATTATAAGAGAATAACAGCGAGACTCTGGATTTATTTAATGTTTGATAATTCTTCACTTTTATCTCTGTCTGAATGAAAATGTTCTATTGCTAGAAACTTAAACAGGCATGTTGAATGTAAAAAACAGAATTTTCATGGAAGTCAGAGTTAGAGTTGGGGTTGTTGCCAGAATGCTGTCATATTAAATGCAGTGTAACATTCATGAATTTTGTATTAAAATGAATTTCCCAAAAATATTTGATACCAGTTTAAGAACATTTTACACAACAACAGTCAGCAAACCTGGCTTTAGGGCAGTTTCATTAATCAGAGGTTTTATTCTGAGACATATCTAACCCACTGTTACTACAAACTAAATTACATGATCCTGTCAGATCACCCCTCACGTAATCTATGTCATATACATTTGAGCATCAGATAGTCAACACAAAAATATATTCAATATTATACAACTCTTGACTTTTCACTGTCTTATCTTATCTAATCTTGTCATTAAATATGACGCTGTAGCTGATTAGCTTAGCTTAACACAGACTTTTTTACAGACTCTTGCCAGTAGGGGTTACTGCAGCCCCCTCAGAACCCCTACCTCCAGCATCCTGGAGTATTAATTACTTTTAAACCAAGTCAATTAGCAGAGTTAATATAATTAGTAACTGTCCATCATCTTGGCTGACTCTCTTTGTTGTGCGTCCCTGCAGACTGTTGTACAAGGCCATCGACTCCAACAAAGAGAACATGGGTCCCATCTACAACTACCGCATCGAGATCTCCATCTTCTTCATCATCTACATCATCATCATTGCCTTCTTCATGATGAACATCTTTGTTGGTTTCGTTATCGTCACCTTCCAGGAGCAGGGGGAGAAGGAGTACAAGAACTGCGAGCTGGACAAGAACCAGGTACAGTGCGTGTGTGTGTGTCTGTGTGTGTGTTGTGAGTATACAATCAGAATCTTTATCACAACACACAAAGAAACTATGTTTGATAATCCTTTGTCACTAAATGTCCTTGTCTCTGTCTCTTTACACCTGCTCTCATAACCACCGCAGCGTCAGTGTGTGGAATACGCTCTTAAGGCTCGCCCTCTGCGACGCTACATCCCCAAAAACCCCTACCAGTACAAGTTCTGGTATGTGGTCAACTCCACTGGGTTTGAATACGTCATGTTTGTCCTGATCATCCTCAACACCTTGTGTCTGGCTATACAGGTAAGTGTTTTCTCTCTTTGGTCCTTTTGGACAATGAACATAAACTAGCTGATGTAGTCAATTGATTAATTCATGTCTATTGATGTAAAGGATTGATTTATTTTATAATTCCCTCAATTCTACATGCAATTAGAATTATATAATATTCATGACTTATAATCTGAATACATTTCATTTGCAGTTATGATTTTAATGAACTCTCTTTTATCAGAAAGATTTATGTCAGTTTAAATAAATGACAGAGACCAGTGTACACAGATACAGCTCGTCTACAGTCTCTGATCAGCCTGTCTCTTTCTAGCATCATGGTCAGTCTCATCTTTTTAATTACGCCATGGACGTCCTCAACATGGTCTTCACTGGGGTTTTCACAGTGGAGATGATCCTCAAGCTCATCGCCTTCAAACCCAGAGTAAGCCCCCCCCCTTCCTCTCCTGTACCTCCATACAAACATATGTATTGTTCCTTAAATCCTCCTGTTCAGACTTTTCTCCTTTAGATCTCCCTTAAAATTCTACCCCTAAAAAAGTTCCTGTTTGAATTTTTATTTTTAAGGAGCCCCCCTTTCCCCTTAAACCCAGGCCTCATCCACTCTTCCTGTCCCATTTCCCTCCCCTCTGGCTCTCCTTGACGCTGCTCACTCGTGGGCTCTTTGCCACACTGGCTGTGACTCCTCTACCATTTTCTCCTCACCCTTCACCTCTCCCGTCACCGCAACCTCTCAACCCCTCCTCTCCTGCTGGCTGTGCATGCTGCTGTATTCAGGGCTATGTCGGGGACCCCTGGAATGTCTTCGACGCCCTGGTGGTGATTGGCAGTGTAGTCGACATCATACTCAGCCAGGTAGAAAGTCGCCATAATGTAAAACCCTTCGTGCTCTTCCGTTGCTGCTGCCACTGTTTTCTTTCCTTCACACCTTTCCTCCTTACCTTACTCCCTGTCCTAATTTTAATTTACCTTTTTAAGTCGGCTTGATCAAGTTTCTACTTTTGAATTCTGCTGAATCTGACTGATAGTTGATGAGCACCACAGACTAAATACACGCAAATGGGCTGGAACTATGTCCATCCACTACAACTACGATATGGCTTCATCACATTAATTCACTCGTTCATACTGATTCAATCTTGCTGAAGTTTTTACTTTAAAGTCTGTGGTGGTCATTTCTTACAACCTGCCACTCTATCAATGAGAGAAATTTGCAATACAGACAGTTCATTTATAATATGGAATAAATAAAGAACAAGTTAAAAATGTTATACTCTCACAGACTCAGTGGCACGAATAATTCGACTTTCAATCTCACTCTGTTATATCAAAACCTCTTGATGTTGTCATCTTTCTATCTGTCATAATTCTTTTCCTTATTTTGTTTTACCTCCTCTTCCTTCTCTTTCTTGCTCTGTTGTCTTTCTCTTTCTTTTTTTCTGTGTGTCTTTGTTGCTTGTTCTCGCAGAACTATTTTGCTGATGCATGGAACACGTTTGATGCCTTAATTGTTGTGGGTAGCGTGGTTGACATTGCCATCACTGAGATCAATGTAAGTAGTCATTTATCACACATACACGCCAGTCTTACTGTGACCGTCCCAGCAGAGGGGGCCTTGCTCTAGCATCAGAGCTGTTTTCAAAATCACAATATTTTCACAGCTAAATTAAGGGTCTTCACATTTGGCATTAATGTGGTATTTTGTATTATGGGAGGCATGACACACATAAAGATAAACTTATGTTATATATTTTGTTAACTTGTGTACTTACATTATCCAAAATGTTTTCAACAACATTCAAACCAAGAGAAATACCCAATTTTATTCAAGCTTGCAGGTCCTCTGTTACTGGTCCATTTAATTGTATCGTATGCACCTCTCCCATGGTTTTACCCATCTTTGGTATAACGTCCGGTGCAAACGATGTATGATGATGGAGAAAAACCTTAGTAGGCAGTTAGTTACCTCACGCATGTACATGACTTGCTCCTGAGTTGTGTCAGGTAGATTTTGATCAGCAATGGTGGTGAAATTAACAACTCCCATGATCCCACACTGAGAGACCCATCTGCCAAAGTTACACATTGTACGTTTATGAACAAAAAATAAGAAGAGGAAGGTTTTTCTCATTTTGAATTTTAAGAATTAAGAAGAACTGTGGAGAACAAAGTCAAACTAAATCAGAGGAGCTTTTTTCTATTTGAAATAATATTGAGAATAAATTAAAGTCCAACTTTTAATATTTTAATATATCAAACTTCTAATGTTACCACATATGACTGCCACTACAAAATACCTTGTGTAGATTGACATATGAAATTGTACTTCTGAGCCTGTTTTAGTAAGAAGATTCTCTCTGTTTGACCTGACAATCACAGTTGGTTCATCAGTGTTATGAATTTGAAGAGACTGTGCCAAATCCTGATCACATAAACAAGTTATACACCTTCTGCTCACACAACTGGATTTGATGGACCGGAGGAACAGAGTTAATTGTTTTACATTTCAACTTTATTCTCGAAATGCAAAAAGACGCCTCATGCCTGACCCTATTACTCTTCTGTAGACGCAGTATTAAACAATTATTTAACTGAATATGAAAGGGGGGAAAATGTGATGAGAAACATTCACATGTGTTGGGATGTTTGTTGTGACATGCTAAGGATAAAATGTCAACAGTTATCTAAAACAATCTATAATGTTATTGAGAGCTGTTGTTTTTGAATGCAGCTCTGTTGATTTGTCTTGTCTCTAATCTTGGGCGTCATCATTTTGTGCCAGATTGTTTCGCTTGTTATCTCTTTGAATCTGCTGTGATGCTACTGAAAGGCCACTCTGTCCTGGTTTGACTCCATGCTTGTTAAAGGATCTGTGTGAAGGTGTTTGTTTTTCCTGTTTAGAACACTTGTTTTAAATGAATGATTTACGGCAAACTCACTCTTTATGATCAGATGTTTGGAAACATTCTAATGTACAAAATGAATGTGACACTTGAGTTACAGCTACAGGGTAAATATCCCCTGAGAGTATGCCAGTACCCCATCAACATGTGCTGTGTGGATTTGCAACTAAAAAAATACCAGTTTATTCATTATTTGAAATTGATTATAAATCTTAATGTCCTTGTCATTTCCTGTAGATATAGTTTTCCTCCACTAGATTGGAAGATATCACATCATTTACCCACTGTTAAAGAGAATACAATTGTTTAAATGATGTTTATTTGCAAAGAGAGATGACATCCGACCTCCTCGCTAATAAGATTGAAAAAGCATCACAGCAAACAGCTTAACTTACTTTTCAAATTTAATTGTCAGACAGCAACAGAAAGGGATTTCAGCTTTGCTATAAAACTCAGAAGAGTGCATATCTCAGCCAAGGCCCAACAGTCCCCTTAAAATAAAAAAAGCTGTACAAAATTGTGCACACTCAGAGAAATCAGTCCCATAAACATGCATAAATAGCAAATATAATGTATTAGAATTAGGCCATGCACAGAACCCTGGGGATCTCTGTGATTAACTCTCTGTGACGCAGAGCACACCCTTCACCCAAGTTTCATGGTAACCCGTCCAGTCATTTTGGGTAATTTTGCTGACAAATAAATAAACCAACCAAAAAACCAACAAATGAAAACGTCACCTCCCTAAACGGAACTAAAAGAATGGTTGCCTTACATTGTGCCACTGTTAACCATCAGATTAGATACTGAATTATTGCATAATTTAAAATAAATAGTGGAGTTAAAACAGTTGAGTATCAAGCAAATTGTATGAAGACAATTGTAATGATAAAAAAAAAAACAATAGGATCTGGTGTATCAGTGTTTTCTCCTTATTGTTGTTCAGTATCATTTCACTATCCAACACTTGCCTCTCATGTCTGTTAGTGCTGAGATGATGTGGTAAAGCTTCGATGGGCTTTATGCTTTACTTTGATGATGTTCTTGTCTGTGGGATGAGTTCAAAATGGTGCTGTGTGTAAGTGAAGTGTCTTTCATTTGATTACATGTTAAATAAATCAAAGGTTACGTTAATATGAGATCATATTTGCAGCAGCTCTGACCCGTGAACGTTTTGTTGCTGCACAGCTGGTTTGTGTAACTTGGATTAACCTTAGGCTTTTGATTTCAAGTCGGCAGCCATTCCTGTCGTCAAGGTGATAGTGGAGCCAGGGGTAAGAAGAACCCCCCCCCCTCCTTCTCTATTAAAGACCCTCACCCTTTCCTTTTTGTGTTAATGGAAAACTGAAAGCGCCGAGATCTTTCTGTTGTCACTCTCTGTCAGTCACTTAGGGAAGAAAACATTGAGATACTTTCTTCCAGAACCTCTAATTTCACTTATTCAATAAAACGTGAGGGTTTGTGACTGAACCCTCTGTGTTTGATCAAGTCTTGTTTTTTCAACTCCACCTGGTTTGTTGCATTTTGGCTCCACTTTCATGCAGCTGACGTGTTGTCCTGTCTGGGTGCATGGCATGACACCGGGTGAACAGTAACACTGTTTGGTTATTTGGTCATTTCAGCATAGCTTCTCTGAGTGTTTGCCGTCAGGTGACCAGCATTGTGTGGACATTGCACTGCTTCGAGTTTACATTTCTCGTTAAAGGTCTTGTGTGTTTGTATTGTAAAAACAAAACAGGAAAAGATCCATCTCAGTGTTTGTATCAGGTGAAAAAATAAGTTACAGTTTTTCGTTAATTCTGTATGTTGCTTGTTTTTAATCAGCTGTTCAGAGTTAACTGTACTGTATGTGTAAGTCGAGGTCTGTTAATGGCATGCTATTCAAGACACAGTCAACTATGCATGCATGTTGATTTTTGTCATTGCACAGATGGAGAAAGATCACAATCTGGAATATTTCATCATATTAATACAATGCTTGTGAGCTGATATTTGTCACACACGATGGTTGGAAGAATGCATGTATGACTGACTGCATGAATCATTGAGTGGTACAGGATGTTTCCTCCTTCTGCGTTCTTGTAATCACATTTCACCTCCTCCACCTCAGAACACAGAAGACAGCGCTCGCATCTCCATCACCTTCTTCCGCCTGTTCAGGGTGATGCGATTGGTGAAACTGCTGAGCAGGGGGGAGGGCATCAGGACTCTGCTGTGGACCTTCATCAAGTCTTTCCAGGTGAGATCGTAAGATAAACAGCCAGGAAACATCCTTCTTGTATCTGCAGTGATAATTCAGCATGAGATTGGTGAATTTAAATTAAGAATATATGTAGAATAGAATAGAATAGAATTGAATTGAACAGAATTGAATTGTCTTTGATAACCAAATAGAACCCATGTGATAAATAGGGTGAACTCAGCAGATGACAAAGACAGCTAATTCATTCTGGCCTACGTACATACATCAAAATGAGCCTGTTGTAATGAGCATTTGAAAAGTGCTAAAATGTATGTATTTTTTAATTTACTTAAAGTTATTTGTGATAAAGTTTAAAACTGTAAAAATATCAAACTTAAATTGAATAATCTAATCTCTACGTCTTAAGAATCCTTGCCAAAATTATATAAGATTTATTTGTTTTACTCCCAAACATCGTTTTGACATCAACCCCTAAAAATCGGTATTGTTTGGGGTCCACTGTAGATTTAACCAGACAATTAGTTATCAGTGGATCTTGTGCTGTAATTGATAATGTGCATCACTCGATTTAGATACTGAAACGTTCTTTTTTTTCCACCCAGGCTCTTCCCTATGTTGCACTCCTGATCGCCATGTTGTTCTTCATATATGCTGTAATAGGAATGCAGGTAAAATGTAATCAGTTTTTCAAAATTACAGTAAAACCAGACCAGATTCACTGCAGGGTCATTTGAGAGCATGCTGACTGATTCTGTGGACAACATTTCTCTGTCTGCCATCAGGTGTTTGGTAAAATAGCCATGGTGGATGGAACACAAATCAACCGCAACAACAACTTTCAAACTTTTCCTCAAGCTGTCCTGATGCTCTTCAGGTATTTGTGTTTGCGAAGGTCAAATCGTTGGTTACAAGAAATTATAAGTGATCATACATTCTTATAGTAAATATTGTTGTATGTCAGGTGTGCTACAGGTGAGGCCTGGCAGGAGATCATGCTGGCCTGTCTGCCTGGGAAGCTGTGTGACTCAGAGTCCGACTACAACCCAGGAGAGGAGAGAACTTGTGGCAGTGGTTTTGCCATTATCTACTTCATCAGCTTCTACATGCTCTGTGCTTTTCTGGTAATCCTAACATGTTTCTCCGGCTTCACTGTGCCAGTAGTAAAAAAGCTAAACTATGTTGCATGTTCTTGTTTCAGATCATAAATTTATTTGTAGCTGTCATCATGGATAACTTTGACTATCTGACCCGTGATTGGTCTATTCTGGGGCCGCATCACCTGGATGAGTTTAAACGGATCTGGTCTGAATACGATCCTGAAGCCAAGTGAGTGCACAGGGCCCATTTTTTGGAAAAACAAAAAACGTTTCTCATGTTATTTATCCTGTATATTTTTCAGAAATATTTGCGTCAGTATATACGGTTTGCTGGTAAATTCAAATTATTCACTGTGGTCTAACAACTTTTATTTGACTCCATGCTGTTGTCAGGGGCAGGATAAAGCATCTTGACGTGGTGACTCTGCTGAGGAGGATCCAGCCTCCTCTGGGCTTTGGCAAGCTCTGCCCACACAGGGTGGCCTGTAAGGTGGGTACATTAAAGCATTTGTACGTCTTAGACATGTAGATAAATAACTTTCACAGAACTCACTTCACATTTGATGCCTCCTTATTGATCTGTACTTTGAATCCTGTTGCAGCGTCTGGTGGCGATGAACATGCCCCTGAACAGTGACGGGACTGTCATGTTTAACGCTACTCTGTTTGCTCTGGTCCGCACTGCTCTCAAGATTAAGACCGAGGGTGAGTCTGAACCTGCATGAAGTGGTGTGTCGCCAGTAGATGCAATAAAAAATGTACTGTGTGAAATAAGATTGAACAACTATTATTATTATTGATATTATTATTATAAACTTTATATGATATATATTTATATAGCACCTTTCAAAACACAGTTACAACTTTACTACAAGTTAAAAATGTAAATCGAAGGCAAACAATAGGAAAAGTAAAAAGTAATTTAAAGAGCATAGTACAAAATATAAAATGTTACAGATGTGAAAAGAGTAGAAACAAGATAAAATGATTGCACTAGTTGGTAAGATCAGAAAAATAGACAAAGTAATTCAAGAGAAACAAAGAGAGTAACGATTAGTTATTGTGAGTGGTAGTTGTTCGGTCCGTTATTTACCTAAGATCTAGTTCTTCATTCTCAGCAGTGCCTGCGTCTTGACCTTTTTGTGGTCGGATGTGAATATGCCCATCTGACCACAGAGCATATGATCAGCCCACATCTTGCCACAAGAGGGGGCTGTAGACATCTACTGCAGTTGCAACAGCATTTGTGGAGTGCTCTTAATCTTCATTGTAACTTCATGTGTCTGATGTCGTGTGTGTTGTGTGATGGTGTGTGTTGGTGAAAGAGAGCGACTGTACATTTGATTTTTTGAGCTTTTGAGCCCCAGTTACACTTCTCACATTTTCTGCCATTTTCCAGGAAATCTGGAACAAGCCAATGAGGAGCTCAGAGCTGTGATCAAAAAGATCTGGAAGAGAACCAGCATGAAGCTACTGGACCAAGTTGTCCCTCCTGCAGGCGGTCAGTGGTCATTACATCCTCATCACCATTATTCACAGTTCAAACGGTGGCTTCACTCACTTGATTTGAATATGCACTGCTTTGCATTAACATTTCCCTAAAAAGGAAAAACTGCATCACATGTGAACCATCCTTTTACCAACATACAGCTAAAAATACTGCTCTCCAAGCTCCACCCATCTATTTTCTATACTGCTTATCCTTTTGATGGTCCCCCAGGGGGTTGAGGCTGCAGCCAATCAGTGGGTTACACACAGGAAAGGTTACCAGTGTATCACAGGACCAACATACACAAAAACATAAAGCATTTATTATGGCTCTGTTTTGAGAGTGAGCTCGCATCAACCAGGACCCAGAAACTCAAAAAAGCTAATTGGAATTCAACCATCATTCATTTTGTTATTTACACTTTAACTTTTTCTACTGTGTCATGTCAAGATGTCTGCTGTGATGGGTCTATTGTTTAGAGACTTTTCTATGAACTACCACACTGTATATTTTCTAACACAAAAGGTAGATTTTGGTACGGGTGGTTGATCAATCAGACACCGCATTCATCCTGTTTTTGCATTTCTCAACTCAGCAAAGGTTTGAGAAATGCTGAGCACAACTAACCAAATGAGATAGACGGGAAAAACTCCTCTGCTGCCATTTCCTTTCACTTCAGTTCACAGAAACGCTCCTTATCACTGTCACAGTTGAGCTGCTGTTTCTGTCCCACAGATTTGTTTATCACTCATCTCTGGCTGTGGTTCTTCAGTGTCTATTCCTCTCACTCTAGTGTATGCTTAGCACTAATGTTCTTCATTGTTTATGAAACCTAAACTCATGAAGGTTTCAGTCTTTGCTGAGGCCTTGTTCCTACAATCATCTTAAAAAAATAACCTTGGACTTTAGTTTCTTTGATCAGTATGTTACACTAGGTGTAAGAGAACTAGATGGTTTTGTCAGAGTTCAACAGATTTGGATATACACACACCTCTTAGCATACGGTGCACTTTCTTTTTGAACTGCATGCATCATTTACAGATGAAGCAGAGGGCTTCTGCTGTTAACTATGGTTGCAGGAGAAAAGAC